CGTTGCTACTCTATAACTGTAATTTTGCTACTGTTATGAATCATAATGTAAATATCTTTTTGTTTTCCGATGGTCTTAGGTGACCCCTGTGAAAGGGTCGTTTGACTCCCAAAGGGGTCGCGCCCCACAGGTTGAGAACCACTGCTCTAGAGTCTTAGATTTTTCTAGGTACACAATCTTGGTGTCTCTGAGTAATGTCTGCTTTTTTGTGTGTTCTAATCCTTATTCCTTTATTTCTTTTTCTGGCCTCACTGTACTTGGATTAGAAATGGTGTTGGCAGGCACTGTGTCTCATTCCTGAAGGTAACTGTCTCAGCACCTGCGCAGTGGTGCGTGTCTGTCACTCCTCTTTCATTCTGCAGTGGCCCTTTGGTTCCTTCTCATCCCAGGAGAGCCCTGGGGGCAGCGCCTCACTTTCCCCTTGGGGTCCCTCAGGGCATCATTGTGTGTCCATAAGCCATACTTAGTTGTCTGCACCACTTGTAAAGGCCGAATACTTGGTAGGCCACCTCGCCCTCAAGTCCTGGCCTGGGACATCTTCCCGGGTTTCACAGCAGAGTGGAGCTAACAGCTTTGGGCAGGTGGAGGATGTCATCTTATCCTTGACAGCTGGCACCAGTTTGGGTGGGAGGGCAGGCTGAAGGGGGCAGCCCAAGCCTACTGTCTCCATGACGTTCCACAGGTGAACCCGGACACTGGCTACATCAACTACGACCAACTGGAGGAAAATGCCCGCCTCTTCCACCCGAAGCTGATTATCGCAGGTGATAAGCTGGGCAGAAAGCAACTGCATTACAGATTCTGGGCCTCTTACAAACCGAAGATGTGACAGTTCCCCGCCCTGTCCTTGCTCCCTGCTAGCTTCTGCCTTGGATGGCTGAGTTTCTTGGGTCTAAGTATATTCTTTTCTTTCAGGACATACGTCTGTGTTTCTCACCATTGGTACTAGGTAGAATAAGATCTGAAGCTGTTCTCGGAGAAGCATCTAGAAATGTTAACCCTGACTAATTGGGGTGGTAATAATAGTTGGGGGCCACCCCAACCACCATAACATTGAAGAGGCAGAGATCAGAGTGGTTGCCTTTGGCACAAAGATGTTTTTTGAGAACATTCTTCATTTCTATTCTCAGATTTTAGAGGGAGAAATCTCCAAGCTTTCAAATACGCATATCCAGAGGCCATTGGCAGCCGACTCTCAGCTGGCCAATGATATCTCTGACTCTACGGTGTCACCTTGGCCATCTTAGGAACCAGCTGCTACTCCCGAAACCTGGACTACGCGCGCCTGCGGAAGATTGCTGATGACAACGGGGCGTACCTCATGGCTGACATGGCGCACATTAGCGGGCTGGTGGTGGCTGGCGTGGTGCCCTCCCCTTTTGAACACTGCCATGTGGTGTCCACCACCACCCACAAAACCCTGAGAGGCTGCCGGGCCGGCATGATCTTCTACAGGAGAGGTGTGCTCTGCGCGTGGAGTACAGGCGGGTGCCAGGGTTTAGGAAGCTGGGGAAAACTGACCTGGGATCCCTTAAAGATATTAGGATCCCTTAAAGAGCTACTCAGGAGGGATCTAGGAAAAAGTCCTGAGCATAGCTATCCAGGTTCTGGGAAAGGAGAGGTATTGCGCTGGGTGCTAGCATCCCTTGGGTCAACTAACCCTCTTCACAAGGTAGGTGTTGGAGTGAAAGGAAGATGAGCATAGCTGGCCAGGGACTGGCAGGAGGCCTCACGGTATAGTAGTATGTTGGTGAACTTACTGTCATCTAGCTTGTTTCTCCTAGAGAAAGACCCATAGTAATCAAACCGTAAGATACTAATGTTTAAGTCCTAGTACCTGTTTTGTTATTTTAGTAAGGAATTTCTCATTCTAGCCATGGAATGCTTAGAGCCCACAGGTAGGCGCTCCCCTCATTCTGGAATTCCCCTGCCAGAGAAAGCCACATTAGCAACCAGGCCATCATGTAGTCCTTGGGACCTGGTGCACAAACCTGGCATCAGCAGAGAAACCAGTCCTCTGGAGACTGGCTTTCCCAGCCCCTGGCCAGTTGGACACACCCATGTGCCCCCTTGGAGCCTCCGCACTCCTCTGAGTTTCTTCTTCCGTTGTGTTTTAACGTTTCTGCGGCAGGTGGCCATTCCCACCTGCCTGGCAGATGCTTGTTTTTCCCACTGCACGTTGGTGTGATTTTGACCCAGGCAGCTGGAGCAAATCCTGGCTTGGCCCCATACTTGCTGTGTGATCCTGGGCTAAGTGTGCGACCTCTCAGTTCCTCATTTCCTTATCTCCAGAGTGATCATAATAACAGGACCAGTCTGTTTGGGCTGCTGTTGTGAGGATTAATGGATGAATTTAGATAAAGTGCTTAAAGCAGTTCTGGCTCAGAAGAAGCTCTGTAGAGCCAGCAGTTATTACCGATTATTAACTTTTTCTCTGAAAGGAACCTTATTCCCACGTGAGTCTTGACTCCCTCCAAATAGTCACCTTGGGAGACCGCTCCCTGGTACTTTGAGGAAATCTGCCCAAGGCATACTTTTTGTTACAATCTCAGTGGAGGGAGAATTTTCATTTCATCTTTTCATTACGTCTGAAAGGGTGGTCTGCCCTCCTCTGGAAGCCACCGCCTTCTCTGCCCAGCAGCATTTCGTACCAGGTTTCACCTCCAGGAGCAGAGGCCAGGCTTGAGCTTAGTGCCCTCATGGCTAGTCTGGGTGTGAGCCCAGGCAGGGAGAAAACGGGAAAGTCTATCTGATGTTCCCATCCTGATGTTTTCCTTCATCTAGGAGTACGCAGTGTGGATCCCAAAACTGGCAAAGAGATTCTGTACAACCTGGAGTCGCTCATCAACTCTGCCGTGTTCCCAGGCCTGCAGGGAGGTCCCCACAATCACGCCATTGCTGGTAAAATATCACCAAGCCCAACTGCGAGCCCTTGGAGGGAGCATCTGTACCCACGGTGGCCCCCATGCAGTGGGTCTGGGGGCTCCCGCTTTTGCTCATCCTGTGGCTGCTAGCCCCCATGTCACCTATCCAGCAGCGTGTGTGCCAGGACTTCCACACTGGGGAGAAACTAGAGATTCCTGACTGGGAGATGCTAACAAGGGAGACAGTGGAAACAGTGGTGATTGGTATAAGGCAGGGACAAGGGGGAATGATGGACCCAACATGTGTGACCACCCCTGGGCAAACTGAGTCAGCCCCGGTTCCATGTGTAGCCCTCCTTAAGAAACAACAAGGGGCCAGCCGAGTGGCGCGATGGTTAAGAACTGGCTTGGGATGCTGGGATGCCAGAGGGCCTCAGTTTGGATCCCACATATAAGGGCCAGTGACACTGCCCTCCACAGCTAAGATGCTGAACAACAGCTCAACCTGGAGCTGGGCTGCCATGAGTCGCCGGCGACGGCGTAGGCTGCAGCCCCTGTGGCAGTGGGTTGCCATGGGCTACCGTGTGTAGCCAGCAGCCAGCGTGAGCGGCCAGCAGCTGCGTGAGCAGCCGTCCAGAAGCCGGCGACTGATCTGCCTCACCCGGGAAGAGCGCAATGATGGTGCCAACTTGGACCAGTGAAGCAACATCCTCCACAACTAGACTGAAGAACAAAACGACAGCAACTTGTCTGTTCCCCTTCCCCCAATTCCCCAGCACTGTTCCCTTCCCCCCAATAAAAATCTTTAAAAAAAAAAAAAGAAACAACAAGGAAGGAACCTGACAAGTAGAATGCAGCACAGCAGAGGAAGTGCAATTAGCAAGGACGCGTTTCCTCTTCCCTGGCATCCTGACCTCCTGTGGGGCAAAGGCACCTGTGTCTGACCATCACGCCACTGACTTCAGGGCCGCACCAGTAGCTCCTGGGTTTGTCGGATTCCATGATCCTCCAGCAAGCAGTCATTGACTGATTCTTTCTCTGTTTGTACAAATGGCTTAGAAAATGATCTCAATTATTCCACTGTCTTCTTTGGAACAAAGTAGGTGGTAAAAGAGCCCAGGACGAAGGTGTAACTTGTCCATCAAAAGAAGCACTTGTGTTTCCAAGGGGGGAGTGGAGAAAGCAGTGACTGGGGATCTAGGCAGCAGGGCTTGGGGCAGGCCTGCACGTCCACCAGGCTGGCTTCGTGTCCCTCTTTGTACCTGCAAGGTAGCATCTGCAGTTTCTTAACCCTTGGATGATGGCATCGCCCAGCCACTTGGAGCCTTTTCCACTCATTTCCACACCCATTGGAGACTTGTGTGCTGGGACTCAGACACACGCATTTTCCATTCTCTATTTTCTGTGCCCTGAAACAGCCTTTGGGATTGAACACAAGGTGCCAGGTAAGTCTGGATGTGCAGGGTACAATATGCCTGCACCTCTCACCTGGACTCTGGAAGATCTGTATAATTTGGCCTCAAAGCATCAGTGTTTAGTGCAGCAAAGTAATGGTTTTCACATATCGAGCTTAAAAAGGACTGTAAAATCTACCTTGCTTAAGAACAGTTTTCCTGTGGTAATCTTATTAGCATGAAACTTCTGTGCTTGGACAAAGGCAACCTCAAAAGCACTTCCTCAAAGAGGAGGTCCAGAGGTTTAGCCAGGTAATTATAGGGTTAAAAATAATGTCATTTTTTGGGGGAAATGTAATCCATCCCCTTCAGTGACACTGAGAAACAAGGAAGCCTAAGTGGGGGCAAGGGGTGTTTTTTGACTCTCCATCTGTCTTTTTTTTTTTTTAAGATTTTATTGGGGAATTGGGGGAGGGGAACAGACAAGTTGCTGTCCTTTTGTTCTTTAGTGTAGTTGTGGAGGACGTTGCTTCACTGGCCCATGTTGGTATTATCATTGTGCTCTTCCCGGGTGAGGCAGTCACTCGCTGGTCATTGGATGGCAGCTCATAGCAGCTCACGCCGGCTGCCGGCCGCTCACACTGGTTCCCAGCAGCTCACGATAGCTTACGGCAGCCCACTGCAGCAGGGAATGCAGCCTATGCTGTCGGGGGCGACTCACAGCAGCCCAGCTCCAGGTCAAGCTGTTGTTCACCATCTTAGCTGTAGAGGGCGCAGCATCACTGGCCCTCATGTGGGATCCGAAGTGGGGCCCTGCTGCTCAGAGCTGATGTCCCAAGCCAACTCTTAACTAACGCACCACTCAGCCAGCCTTCCGTCTGTCTTTTGATCCCGTCTGTCCTTCCTTCCTGACCCATTGTCTCTTCCTGCCAGGGGTTGCTGTGGCCCTGAAGCAAGCCATGACTCCAGAATTCAGAGTTTATCAGCGCCAGGTGGTGGCCAACTGCAGGGCTCTGGCTGAGACCTTGGTGGAGCTGGGCTACACAATAGTAACAGGTACCCCCAGACACTTGGGTGGCACCCACTGACCCCGGGACACAAGTCTGCTCTTTAAGGTTGCACTAAGCCTTGCACCGCAGTCCATCCAGCCAGGCTGTGTCTGTAGGGTAGTGGCCCTGGCACTGGCTACAGCTGGGGTCTGAGTTGGGGCTGCCTCTAGAGGAGTAGGTGTGCCCCGCATGGCTTCCGCCTTACTTCATGACAGCTGCCTCCTTGGCTAGGCCAGAGATAATGGTTCTATTAGCTGCTGTTTGTCACCTGGCAGGTGAGGCCTCAAGTCCTCAGAACAGCTTTCTGAAAGGAGCACCTGAGGCTCACCTGAGAGAAGTTAGGTCCCAGCGGTCACACGACTGGTGGGTGGCAGAGCCAGGATGTGAAACAGGGCAGGAACCCAGGGCCTTCTCTACAGTGATGCCTTGCACTGTCCTGCAGGCATGCCCCGACTCACCCGAGGGTCAAGGCAGAACTGGCTGTTTTGCCAGAGGTTCATGGGAGTTTGCTACGTCCACACTTTCTTGAATACGAAGATAATGACACTGAGTGACCCTGAGTGAGATGGACTTTCCAGGTGAGGGCCTCACTCAGGGGTGCCATCCACCTAAGTCACTGCAGGCTTACACAATTAGGATGGCACCGTTTTTCTGGCAGAGAGCGTACTTGGTTACTTCGAGGAAGGGAAGCTTTATTCTTCTGCTTACAAGGCTGTCGTGCATACTAGCAGGAGGTGGTCCAGGAAGATGGGTCCTGGTCCCCAGTGCATGCAGGTGCCCCCTCCCTGACCACTGTCCTTTACAGAGGTCACGGGCCCTAGTCTAAGGAGTGGGCTCCTCACCAAACCTGTGAGCAGCAGGGCTGAGGCAAACACCATCTTTTCAGCGGTCCTGAGTAGCGCCTCCTTTGTTTTCCTTCACTTCCTTTCTTTGCTTTCTTCTCCAACTTCCACATCTTCCAGTAAGAAAACCCCAGGAATCTGTCTGGACTGTGACCCTCAAGGTCCCTTAGGTCACTGTTTCTCTAACTTGGATGTGCATACAAATCCCTGGGCACCCTGTTAAATGCAGGCCTGGGTGGGCTCTGCCTTTCTAACCGGCTCCCAGGTGATGTGGGTCTAAGAACCAGGCTTGGCATCACAAGGATTTAGGCCAAACTCCCTCTGGCTCCTGGCATCCCACGGCAGCCCTGCCAGGCCAGCTGCTCAGAGCCTCCCATTGAGTCCTCCCCTTTCCTGAGCTTCCAGGCCTTCCTCACCCCTCGGTTCACTCTGCTCTGAGGACACGACATGGTGCAGGTAGCTGAACTGTAACTGCAGCCAGCACTTGTGGATCGTGCCTCATGCCTGGCGTTGGCCAAGCACTATATACAGCACCTTATTTAAACCTCACAAGCCTTGTATGTTGTTGGTATTATTTTACACATAGGTGTCTTAGGTTCCAAAATGTTGCACTGCCTGACTAAAGCCACACGGTTAGTATTCTGGGGTCCAGGGCTGAGCACTGACTTAGTTCACCTGCATCTCTGCAGTCATTGCTATTGCCCAAGCCAATGACCTGGGATGAATGAGAGTTCAAAGTGGAGAGATCCATGTTCTTGGGAGACTCCTGGGTGGCCTTGGGCCAGTTCCAGAAAGTTCTTCCAGCCTTGATATCCTTATCTGCCCCACTCTGATAATACTATCACCCTCACAGGGTTAGGGATAAAATATATGACGGGCTAATGGTGTTGGCACCTAACACGTGCTCAATGAAGGCAGCAGTTACCCACTTACCATAAACGGAACCACCATCTGCTACTCTGACACTGCCTCGGAGGGAGCCTTGAAGATTGATTTCAGAGATGCTGTATAGAGCTTCCCAAGTGATTTGTCAGAGAAAACAAGCCATGAATGGCACCGAGCAAGCTGTCACTCCCTTGACAAGCTTCCAGGCCCTTCACCAGCCAGCTTGTTGCATTGGGCAGTCTGGTCACTGTCCTCTCAGCTCAGTCCCCTCCTCCTCCTCAGAATGCTTTTTACACTACTCTGTCCTTTCTGTGAAACTCTTAGGCCCAGATGAAAACCTCCAGGACACCCCTTCCTGACCTCATTGGCTTTAGCCCCTATCCTCCACCACACTCATCTCTTAGGAAGAGAGAAATACCTTCGCTTGGCATGGAATCAGCCTTCTGCATCCCTACATGTTCAATTTGGTTTCCAGGTGGTTCTGACAACCATTTGATCCTCGTGGATCTCCGTTCCAAAGGCACAGATGGTGGCAGGGCTGAGAAGGTGCTAGAAGCCTGTTCTATTGCCTGCAACAAGAACACCTGCCCAGGTGAGAATCCTCCTTGGTCTCCTCCATACCTCTCCTGTCTGCACTTAGGGCCAGAGTTACAGCTGATGGTCACTGGCTCTGGGGACAGACCTCAAATGGTTTGGGGGGGTAGATACACCATGCTGTTTGGGAGCTAAGTTGTGGCTCTCTCTTGGCTGCTCCTTGACAGGCTTTAACCCTGCCAGGGATGGGGGTCTGAGGTGGAGTGCTTGGAGGAGAGAAGGCATTTGGAAGAGGGAGGAGGGGGCTCTGGAAACAGGATTTCTCAGTGGGTTATTAATAAGATGTGGGCAACACATCTCAAGCCAGACAGATGCTAGCCTCGCTTAGAAGCAAAGGCCATGTCACAGAAGCCAATTTACTGTTTAAAGTAGAGTGGTCAAAGCGTGCCCACTGCCTTGGCCTTCGCTTCCACCTCTAGTGTGGAGATCAGCTATGCTTGTCTTGCTCTCGCTAGATTGAGCTGGCATCTGCGGGCCTATTCTTTTTGCTCAAATGTCCGGCTTTAACACAGTGGTCAGTGGTGAGTTGGGTGCGGTCCAAGTACAGAGCTTGTTTATGTTAAAGGTGACAAAAGCGCACTGCGACCCAGCGGGCTGCGACTGGGGACCCCAGCACTGACATCCCGAGGACTTCAGGAAAGAGAGTTCCAAAAAGTTGCCTACTTTATTCACAGAGGTAAGGATATAGGTTTGGAGGTTTGCAACATTCATATTGTGTGTATGGAGTCTGACTGAGTAGTTGGGACCTAGCCCCTGAAGGACATGTCTGTGTCAAGGCTGAGTGCTGGAGACAGGAGACTGCAGAAATCACTTAGCAAACCACCTGGTCTGAGAGGTTTGTAAACTTGTCCTGCCCAAGGAAGGGTGCATACAAGAATCATTTCTGGGGTGAGCACTGATACCTATGGCTGTCACACCCCCTGGTGCTGGGGCATTTGGGCAGTTGGGCCTCAGGTGTGTCTTGCTGGCTCAGAGGACTCATTTATCTCTGCCGTACAGGGATAGAACTGACTCTGCAGATTCAGAACGACGTCGGTGCCAGGGCCACCCTGAAGGAGTTCAAGGAAAAGCTGGCAGGGGACGAGAAGCACCAGAGTGCCATCAGGGCTCTCAGGGAGGAGGTGGAGAGCTTCGCGTCGCTCTTCCCTCTGCCTGGCCTGCCCGACTTCTAGTCACCAGGCCACAGCACCGCAGTGCCGGAACACTGGGACTGCCAGGGCCGCCGGCCCAGGGATCCCGTTCCCTCCTGAGGATAGGGAGGAGCACTGCCATACAGGACCTGTTCACCCATGTGCTGAGGGGCGTTCTTTTGGGACCTTTCTCACGTTATCTTCTTCACAAATTGAAATCTGTTTAAGGTCCATTGTTAGTAATTCTGGGACAAGTTATTAAAGAGTTTAAATTTGAACCTCACTCTCTTACAGCTATATAGTTATTCTGGAAAAAGGAAACACCTATTTATCCTTAATTCATTTAGATAGGGGGATAGGGCAGAGCTATTAGAAAGATTCCAGTAATTTTACCCTTCTCAGAGTTACTGGGCTTTCCCCCAACTCAATGCAACAGGTAAGAAGCACCCACGTTCGTAGTTTGTAAAAGCTGCCCATTCGTAATATTTTGTTACCCTGTGGGACGCCAAAGGAGACCTGAATTATGACGTTCCAGCTGAAGAGGGAAATTGTCCTGAAGTTTCTGCTGTGTGCTTTCAATCAGAGTTCTAAGTTAGACAGACCTATGCAAGGGTTCTCTTAGCGGCTGTGGAAATGGTCTCCTTCACTCTCCACCCTGGGCACGTGGGAGAGCCCGGGGCACCTCATCCTCGCCTGCTGTCAGCAGCAGCCAGGAGGAGCCCTTCTGCCCTGAGTGAGAACCAACTCCCTCCTGTAATCAGGAAACCAAATGTCACCTTCCCAAAGAGAGTTTATTTTTCACAAAGCTGAAGTGCAAACCATAAATGACCATTTTTAATAAGCACAATCAAATATTTAACCACAGAATGCCTATAAGAATTATAGCTTTAAAAAATACAACCAATTTTTATATTTCAAAAATACCTCAACGCAAATAAATTAGTTTCTTAAAAAGTACATTTCTCATACTGTTTGGCATTTACTCTGGTTGAACTCTGGTGCAGCCATATCTACGAACCGCCATTACACGTGTCTGTCATACTCTTGCCCTCGCCACTGTGAGGATGACTGCAGCTCACATGGTTGGGTTCACATTCACGCACAGACGGGAACATGCAGTAATAAAATACTTTTCAAAAAATAGTAAATATGACTTCCTCACAGACTATGCTTTTCACTGCAACCTGAAAGGCGGCATCTTAGCCCAACCTGTGCAGCCAGTGTCGGGGGGTCGGACAACCTGTGGTCCTAGAAGGTGCCCCCGCAGGCTGGAGCCTAGTGTGTTGTTGGCATTTACTCCAGCATGGGGTAGACAGCTGCCGCAGTCTCCCTGGGGTGTAGGTGACACACCAGTCCCCACATCTCTGCCTGATTTGGGACTTGTTATACTGCCCAGTCTTATCTTCAGGGGCTTGACTCCTCCCCAGCTGCAACAGACATCTCCAAGACCTCTGTGTCGCTTCCATGTTGGAGCTGAACAGTCACTCCCAGGAAGCCAGGGCCCCCTACCAACAGCTTGGTTCATTGCAAGGTGCTTCCTCCTTCCCATGGCATAACCAGATCTTAACAGATGAGGCCAGATTAGGTCAGTGACCAACGGAAAAAGGACTCAGGAAAACGGTGTGCTCAAGCCTTATCAGCTGAGACTGATTTTGCTTTCAGCCAGAAGTAGAAATTTGATGTTTTCCTTTTTGCAGTCTGTTAACATGGTATCTCTAATCCCTGACAGTACTAGAGAAAAGCTAGAAAGCTGGCTCGTTTGATTCAAAGCATGAACCAAGGCGCTTTCTTCAGAGCTGTACAGGGAGATGGGAGGTAAAAATCTGATTGCTGGCTGGGGGGTGGGGGGTGGGGTCAGTGCCTCTGAAGGCCATTCACACCTACTGATGGATCCCCACCAGCTGAGTGCTGTCACCAGTGCAAAGATGACATGGCAACAGCAGGTCCAGAGAGGCAGAGGCACGCAACACTGGCAGACGTGGGTGGTCAGTGTGCATGCAAGATATTCCAGACTGCTCTTGGCCTCCAGACCCACATCACAGAACTGCAGCAGCCCTGTCATTTGGGGTAGAACTGTTGGCCTTTGGATTTTGAAATGATAAGTTATTTGGGGTTGAAGTCTACTATACTCTGCATATAGTAACTGATCTGAAATGAAGTTAAAAGCTAGATGGGAAATGACAGCTACGTGAGCTATCATGGCTCATTTCCAAATTCTGGGGCAATGTGTAACTTCAGCCATTGCAGTCAATTATGGAAAAGTCACAACTTCTAAAATCCAAAGATCCACTAAAGGAGCAAAGTTCCTGGGGAAAGAAAGTGAGGTGTGAGGTGGCAGCTCAGGCGACACAGGTGCTATACAAAGCTTCGGCTGATCTCTAAAATGGAGCTTCAGGAAATCACTACTGCATAATTGCTAGCCTGGACTGCGTCAAAAAGGGGGCTGGGGGTTGGGGGGGAGGCAGGTAACTGGAAGTCGAAACAAACCTCAAAGTTCAGTGCCTGGGCCTTCAAAGTGACAGGATTGAAGAAGTAATAAGGGGCTCTGATGTCCTTTATTTTCTGGGAAGTGGTTTTCATTCAATGTTTTATTATTAACACTTATTGACCTACTACTAGAGGAAAACCTCAAATGAAAATTCTTGAAGAGGTTCGTCCCATTGCGTAGGGCTCCCCACCATTAAGATTTATAGATGCATCTGAGACTTCTAGTAGGTTCCAGTTCTCCAAAGTGGAGGAGGGGCTGGGGAGGGGCAGCTCCACAGTCTCAACTGCCTCTCCCCACACTGGCTCAGTCCAAGTTCCACTTTACGATCCCTTTGAAAAGAAACATTACTTAGCATCAAGCAATCCTTTCAAACTGTCACACTGAAAAGTTAGGTTTTAACCACAAATTGAAATCCTGGTGTGCACCCACTGGTCGGTGAAGCGAGCTCGCCTTCTTCGTGAAGAACCAGCTCCAGTGAGATGCTGTGTGCTCTTTCTGTGGTGGGCCCTGCAGGACCGTCTCTCCACACCTGATGGCTCACCGTACAGTCCACAGGGTCCACCTTTGGGGCCATCCTTAGGTAGAGCTTCCGAGAAAACACCCTCCAAAGCAAACTCTGTGGGAGTGTGTGGCTTGCGCTTCTTCAAGGCCAAGTCTGACTGACCTGCCTGCATCGGTTTCCTGGGTGAGAACAGTGTAAACCGCAGAGTCCACGTCAGTGTGAAACACAGGAATGAAACAGCAATGGCGGTGCCAATGATCACTCTCCACCTTGTCACTGGGACCCCACACTCTTATTCCCTTGGAGATAAAACGTCACAAGCTCATGTCCCTGGAGGCCTACATAGACAGCAGTTAGCCACCCAGTTAGAAAACAGCAGCACTGTGAACACCGGGAAGGGGAGAAGGTGACAGACAGGAGCTCAGAGAGAAACAGGATTCCGATGCAGCTTTACCCACTGGCAAACCCTTCACATTTCTATGCTGCCAAGATGTGCCTAGAGACGCGTCTGTGTGCAAATATATGCAACAGGCGCAGGCACAAGGAAAAATGATGAGATGTAAGCAGTGCCGCTTGCCACAAATGGTTCTGTCACAGAAACAAAACCACACATCCATGAAGACAGCCACAAAAGAAGGCTTTCCTCTTTCCTTGAGGAAATCCCTGCCACGACAGGAATGGGACCCCGACCAGAAGCTAATGGGTGCGAGCCAATGGGCAGAGGCTTGGGCAAGGAAGGGACCACCAAGTGATACAACGCAAACCCTCTTTAGTCGCAGGGATCTCTGCCTCTGTGACCTCAGTGCTGTGCCACAAAGCTGACAGGCAGACCGGGTCTCAGCAGCAGGACCCCGACACAGAACAAGGCCCCAGTAGATACGCACACATGTATTCAGCACTTGTGGCTAGCTCAGGCCTGTTTTATCACAATTTTCTGGGAACAAATTAAAAGCAAATACCAAGAGTTCTCCCTACTTAGTGGGAAAAACAGCTTTAAAAAAAGTATAAAACTTGCAAGATCTCCAAGAAGCCCTCCGTCTACACACTAATGGCGACTGTTTAAGAAACCTCAGGAAGGTCCTGATGGTTGAACCAGGAGCATCTCCTGAGAAGGTAGGGGGCTCACATGAGGGCGGGAATGAGCTGCAGGGAGGTGAGTACTTGGGGGGCTCCATGGGGGCAGGGGTGAGCTGTGGTGAGGTATTTGGGGGACTCAAATGGGGGTGGAAGTGAGCTGTGGGGGGGGTAAGCACTTGGGGGGTTCACATGGGGGTGGGAGTGAGCTGCGGGGAGGTATCTGGGGGACTCACATGGGGGCAGAAGGGAGCTGTGGGAGATGAGTACTTGGGGGGCTCCATGGATACGGGAGTTGAGCTGCCTTGAGGTGAGTGTCCTTGGGGCTCACATGAGGGTGGAAGAGAGCTGCAGAGAGGTGGTGCACTCCAGATCTGCGCAGCCTCCCTGAGCAGATACATGAAGACAGCCACTCCTTCCTGCCTGGAGGAGAGCCCTGCCATGAGTTATCACCAGCTGGGCTGTCCACCCAGACCAGCAGCTGAACAGAACTCTGCAGTCACCACGCCCACAAGACCCTGCGAGAGGTAGTAGTTGGAAAGGTTTGCTTTGGGTGAGAAGACCGGGGCATGACCTCTGCCAAGTTCCAACATGCATCTGCAGACCTTCCTCAAGAGGACAGTGCTAACTCACGCTGGCCAGAGAAGCTGGTGGACCGAGCCCCAGAGAGCCTGCTGGCTCACCATCACTTGCACAGTGGTGATGGCCTCATGGCACCTTGGCCCTGCCTGTTTACTGGGCTTTCTATCTCCGAGAGAGAGCGTTCTCACTGACAACTGGGGCCTAACGACGACTCCAGTCACTCCTGCGGACCTATGGGCACAGTTTCCAGGGCCCACCCACAGGCCTTTCTGTGCCTGTTGAGGAAGTGAGCATGGAGGTGGGTACTGCTCACTCTCCCTGCAGCACGGGGGCCCAGCTTTCTCCCCTTCACCTCACTTGTTAAGGGGCCTTCCCGGGATGATATGCTCTAGCAGGACATTCAGCTGGAGTCTGAATGAGACAATGGATGTGCCAGTGTCCTGTTTTATACCAAATCATTCCAGTTAACGGGCTGCTTCATGTGATTTTTCCACTCAAGTGTCCAGCGCAGCTGCATGCGGCCACCATGTTCCTCCCATCGGGGCTTTGCCTTCCTGCCCCTCATCCCACCCACTGAGGCTTTCTTCTTCTCTGGCTACCAGTCCTCTGGAAGCCAAGAGCCCCCTCCCAATTCCGGGGCCACTCCTCGCCAGGGAGACGAGAGCTGTTACTGTCCTTCCAGATGCCTTCAGAGAGCCAGGCTCCCCTCTGCCCAATTCCAGCTTGCAAGCTGCCTGGAGCCACCTGAGAACCCCACTGCCACCTTCGTTTCCTTCCCACCTATGACACCAGATGTCTCAACAGCTCAGAGGACTTGGTCACACCAAGCTTTCCCTTCCCCATGCCCTGAATCACAGGTCTTGGTCACAGTGGCTGGGACTGACCTCAGATTTTGTACAAAAAGCTGGGGACATAGTCAAACCTGAGCATGGGGTGGCTGGTCCCAGGAGACGCCTGCATATAGTGCAGCTTCAGCAGCTCAGCCAAGTACTGGACCACCTTTACATCTTCGTTCACGAGACCAAGATTCAGCTTCAAGAAGCTTGCCTGCCGGCTGGCCACCAACTCCTCAGTTTCCTTGTCATGGGCCGGCAGGTGCAGGTGGTGGCAGAAGGTGTAGAGGAAGGCCTTGGAGCAGAGCTGGGTGAGCATGCTCTGGACGTGCAGGTAGTAGGTACTGCCCCGCTTGATCTGAGTGCGGTGGTCTGCCAGCCGAGGCATGAGGGTGCCCCTGTAGAGAGGGCAGCGCAGGGTTTTGTTGTCCAGGTCCAGGATGCTGGTGTAGCGGCTGTAGCGGCTCAGCGCATGCAGAGTGCCAGCACTGGCAGGGGACGCCAATCTGAAACACACAGGCCAAGGTCAGCAGGGAGGGCCAGGGCCAGGAAGATGAAGGCAGGCACCTGGGAGTGTAGCTTCCTGTCTCTGGCCAGCTCTCACTGGCTCTCTGGAAGGCAAATCTGATCATCATGATTTTCAAAGGGCTCCCTATTACCCTCATGAGCAAGTTCAAATGCCTTGGCATAGCCCACAAGGCCCTGTACAACCTCTAAGGCCTCATCGGTCACTTCCCCCATAACTCTCCCTTGTAGCCATGGCAAGCTTTCAGTGGGACCTCAAAATCATGGGCCTATTTGCTCTGCCTGGAATACCCTTCCCTCCCTTTTATACTCGGCTTGTGCCAATTTAAACCTTATCCAGCCTCCCATGATCCCCTCGTCTGCTTTCTTGCTATGTGACCTTGGTCAAGTTCCTTAGCCTTTCTAAACCTCTTCTGTAAGACAGAGATAACAGTTCTGCCTCATGAGGGCATGGTGGAGCCGAAATGAGTTGTGCTTAGGTGAGTGCCTGGCCCTCAGCATCACCAGCCTGGCACTAACCAGTGTGGTGACAGCTGTCTGTCGTCTTGCACACAGGCCAAGGGTTTCTGCAGACCCTAATTTGGGTCTGTTGCTAATTTGACCTCCTACCCCTGCTGCGCGGACCTGTGCCCGGCACATCGGAGACAAGCAGGCAGGACTCGCTCAGTGAGGGGAGGAGGTCAGTGGTTGGTCTTAGTAAGCAGCTCCTTAAAACCTTCCTCTGCATCAGTTTTCCCAGAGGATCTGGGATTACCCTGCAGTCTGTAAATGGCTGGCTGAGCAGAGATCTCACAGACTGTGATACCTTTGGTACTTAAGAGCTTGTGTTCCCCAGGCGGTGTGTACAAAGGACTGATAGTCGCTTGGGACCAAGGCCATCTCCTATGTTTTCCTTCTTGAGTGCTCTCTCGTGTAGTTAACAATCATTTATCGAGCATCTACTATATTCAGGCAGTGACCGTGGGCTAAGCAGACAATGACGGATGAGCCTGGTTTGCTGGGGAAAAAAACATTCACTCAAGTGTACCAAGTGAAGGGGGATGTAGTCTGTCTCCACAGGAGGCCCGGGGCCGGAAGGTCCCAGAGGGGTCGTCGCAGAGCTGGCCGTGAAAGAAAGGTGGGCCCTGGGAACTGGAGAAGGCATCCAGACTACGGCAAGAGCAAGGTCAGGGATGGGAAAGCAGAGAGCCACGTGTTCTGAGAACTGCAAGGAGAGCAGTGGGCTGTGGCCCACATCCCACGGGCGATGGGAAATCAGGCTTGGGGGCAGCTCACTGGCTTCTTGGGGAGGCAGGCCTTTTCCCACATTCCCAGTAGGCTAGGTCCACTCCTGAGGTACACTGACCTTCCCCACGGGGGCCACACCACGAGCCAAACGCCTCATTGAGCTTGGTGCATCCAGCCCACTGAGGCACTGCAGCAGCACAGCCAGGCCTCACCTTGTCTTCCTGCCCCTCCATTCCAGCCACCTGTCCTGCAGGAACACACTGGCCTCAGGTCCAGCCTCTCCCCAGGCAGCTGACACCCCCACCCTCTCCTACCTATGATGGCACAACTTTTCTGAGATGTTGCACCTTCTAATTCTTCCTCCATTTCTGTTTCCCTCGAAGCTCCTCAGCAGGAGGCCAGATAACATGGGAGGAGGCAAGCCCCAGGCCTGTCCCTTGGCTGCACAGCAAGCGTGAGGCATCTGTGAGCTTCATTCTTCACCTCCCATGCCTGTTTAATTTCATTGCTGCCCATCCCAAAGCCAGGGAGGCAACCACTGCACAGAAAAGGACACTGAGGCCTGGAGAGGGGCCAAAGCTTGTCCAAGGTCACCCAACTAGAAAGTGGCTGAGCCAGGACTCAACCAAGGGCCTCTAACCCATGTTTCCCTCCAGAACAGAGCTGTTTTTCAAACAGCCCAGGGCTTGTTACTGCTGCTTAGTAAGTTATAAAATAATCTCTGGTTTTCACTTAAAACAATGGGAGACTGACTTGATTGTTTATCCATCTCTTGCATCCATTCTGTGGCAGAGGGCCTACTTTAATGAAAAAATAAAATATCAAGGGCCAAAGAGACTGGCAGCTCTGGGTGGGAATCCTTAAAAACAGTTCATCATCTGAGCTGGTTTCACTGGAGTCAAAGCACCTGAGGGGGACGAGACTCTCAAGTCACAATTCTGATTCCAGGTTAAACTAGCACATGAGACCAACCCTCTCTATTGCTGAGCACCCCCATGCATGGGAAGTTCATGACCACACAAAGGTACCTTTTCTGCTCATTCTCTCTAATGCTGAGCCTCAGAGGGGCTCAATCTGCCTCCCTGTTTCAATGCTGGGTCTGCCTGCGGGGGTGACTCACCATCCATCCCCAACTCCGAGCAGTTCTGAGGGCCAGGAACAGCACAAGGGCTGTTCCTAGACGTGCCTGCCTCCAGCCCCGCATGTAAGCCCCATTCACAGACAGGTCAACAGGCTTTGCTGAGTGAATGAATAAGTGGTCCAAATTCACACAGCCAGTAGAGCTAACACCAGGACTTGAACCCAGAGCACCCACTGCCTCCCTCTAACAGCCACAGGCTACAACTCCACAGGTTTTCATCTCGTGATGCTTTCACATCCTGTCTACCGTTTGCCTGCCAGGATTTTGTCACGTGAGTCGAAGCAAATCCAGTCCCCACTCCACTTCTGGCCCTTCAGCTGACCCTTTAGTGACAGGTCCCCAGGGGAATAAGGCCTCCAAGCCCCACCTAGTGTTCCTCATGCCTGAGCAGGATCCCTGGAGGCAACTGTCCCAATTCCCAGCATGTGTACATGGGGGGCAGGGAGTCTGAGCAGGAGAGTTTCCAGGGAAGAGGAATCATCTACTTACCACTTGGGATTCTTGGGAAGATCTCAAATGTCACTTCTGACAGGTCTCTCGCTTTTGTGGAGGCTTCTTCAAGGCTCCAAGTCCGGCAGTGGAGGCCACACTAAGCCCTGCCACCCAGGCCTACCCTCCTCCCTGTCTGTTAGGGAATCAGAGGAGCGCTCCCATTGATCACATGTGATGGGCCCGCCAATCTCTGCTCTCATGGGGCAGGTCTTGTCAGCTCCCTCTGCAGACAGGTCCGGCTGACAGTGGTGACAGCTGGGGCTGACCACAAAGGCCATGTTCGCCCTGTCATGGGATGCACCATGGCTGCTGACTCACCTTATAATTCTGGCACTGGGCACAGTGGCTGGCACACAGCCCTCAATAAATAGTTGACAAATGATCATTCAGCGATCCAACCCTCTTATTTACTCAGGAGAGAACAAAGCCTCGAGTGGAGGACTAACTTGCCCAGGTGCCCACTGTGGATGAACTCAGACCATCTCTCACGTGCTCTTCCACTCCAGGGTGCCAAACACACTGCCAACCTGCCAGCTACCCTCTCCTGCACCCACAGAGACATCATTAATTAATCACAGCAGGATTTCCAACGCAGCCCAACCTAGGCCTCAGAATCCTTCTCAACACAGGTACCTGGTAGCGTGAAGTTGGAGAAAGAGATAAATCTCTTTAGCCATTCTGGAACATTCTAAGGAGGGCAGTTCAGGAAAAGCCTCTGGAAAGGGCCAGACTGTCCTCTTTTGAGGTAAAGTCAAAGGTCAAGGATTGGAGTGAGGGGATCGAGTTGGAGTGTGAGTGTGTGTGCGTGTGTGTAAGGGATACCAACCCATCATTCCACCAAGAACAGTAGCAAAACACAATCCCTGAAAAGCCCTTCCCTTCCTGGGACAGAATGGTTAAACCCAAGAATGCAGAGGTGGCATCAGCAGAGGGTCAGGATCCTGGGAGGAAGGACAAAGCTGCAAAGGAACTAGGTGTAGTCATCTACCCTGCTGAGCCTCAGGCTCTGTATCTGTAAATAGTTTCCTACCTATGATGCCCAAGGAATGGGCTTGTCCAGGTGTCTCAGCCTGTCAAACCAAGTCCCCATGTTGTCCCTCTTCCCCACAAAGGCAAACCCACCTTCCAGGTGGCTCAAGCCAAAGACCCCATACCTTCTCAGTCTCCCTCCCTCCCACCTGTCACTAAATCACTCCCTTTGTTTTCTTAGAACATACAAAGCACCCACAGTTAGAACTCTCATCTCCCTGTACGGCAAGGCTCTGGTCACCTATCTACCCACTCTCCTAAACCACAAATCCTTCCAGAGCAGTGGCCTTGCTGGTACCCCAGCACCCGCCAGCATGGCCTGGGGTAGATTCTCAACAAGTGAGTCAAGCATGACATGGAAGTGGCACCTGCTTGAATCCCACCACCATGACCCTGGGGAAAGCTTAACGCAGCAAGGGTTGGAGTGAGTTCAGGCGACTCACAAGGTGACTCGGTGAACACAAGGAGACGCAGGATGGTGACTTCATCGGAATCAGAGACCCATGTAAAGGGGAAGACGGAAAATTAGAAAAGCAGCTGACTGCAGTGTGGAAGAAATTCCTTTTGCCCTTCCTATGTGGTAAGGGAAGCTGAGACTGTTGTGTCAGCAGGGACTACAAGGATCACCTAGCTCGACACCTTTGTCTTACAGATGAGCTAAGCGGGGTGCAGAGAAGGGAATGAGGAAACTGAATGCAGTGCATATGCTGAGGGAAAGAGTCCCTTGAGCCAGACAACTTGTCAAGCAGTATTTGGAAAAATAAAAAAGAATCTATTGAAGCACGAGAGTAACATGGGGAAATGAAATAGAAAGCACTCAGAGAGGGAGAAGGAATTGGCTTTTGCATTCCTTATTAAGACAGCCTTCCAGGGCAAACAGGACAGTGGAGTGAAAGCCACGAGAGCCTTCTGAGGTCCGCCTCACCAGTGATTGCTGCCCTCTCCTATTACTACCACAGTCCTTTCTCAGAAGCAGACCTCTCCTCGGTCACTTACACCATAGTGTGACTCTGAGATTCAGCCAGGACCTGAGATCTAGTAGTCCATTCTTTCCCAAACCTTGCCATACCAGATAAAGTCCAGGTCTTACCCAAGACCAACTGAATCAGAATCTCTGGAGGTAGGACCCAGGAATCGTGATTTTTAAAATTCTCTCAAATAATTCTGGCATAGCAGGGAGCAGAGCAGGCTTGGCAACCACTTAGGAACTACAACGCCTTCATGTGACAGACAAGGAACAGAAGGCCAGGAAAGGGGAATGAGTTGCCAAAGGTAACAATGAGTCAGTGCTGGGCCCATTCTGGAAGCTAGACCTCCTGATTCTGGGTCTACCACACCAGCCTCAACCAGGAGGATGAACATTTGAAACGTCATTTCTAACTGGACAGGGCCCTTCCCTACCCCTGTACCCAATTACCTCTGCAGGCCAATAAGCTTCCACTTCTGAAAATCCATGATGTGCAAAGGGGAGGAGATCCAGTGCTTCACGGGTTTGGCACAGTGGCTGTAGTTGGGGACGAAGATGGACAATGCTGTCACAAGCTTCCTGACTATGGCCTCATCCTCCCCCAGGACCACGAGTGTTCTTCCGCTGAGCAGGGAGTAGATGGCTGGGTGGGCAAAGGGGTACTGGCGGATGAATTTTAAGGCATTCTGGCCAGCCCTCTTTTTATGCCTCTCAGAAGAGGAGCCAGCGGAATGAGGAGAGGAGGGAGTCCTGTCCCAGCTGGTGGAGGCCACACTGCTCACATAGCTGGTGGTGTCTGAGTAGTTGTCCAGGCTGGTCTTACTGACATCCCGGCTGGCCAGCAGGTGACTCGGGTCCAGCTCATAAGCAGGGCACCCTTTGGAACTGTTGTCTCGGGAAGAAAGGCTGGCATTTTCCACTGCGAAGTCCACATGGAACCCCAGGTCCTTCTGCCTGTAGCGCTGTGGGGGGATGCTCACTACTCCATTCTCATCAGAGAGTGTGGGGACTGAAGTGGAGAGCGGCCTCTGCAGACTGTCGCTCTCCTTCCCGATGCAGCAGGAGTCTGTCTGTGAAGGGGTGTTTTCTAAGTTGCCTTCCTCTGCTTCACCCAGCTCCGGTGGGCTGATGCTTACCTGGAAGTGGATGACTCCCTCACTATCATCCGCATATGATTCTTCTTCATTAATGGCACTTGGGTAGCTGGCCTTAAAGTCATCAGGGATGAGGGCCTCAGAGGGGCAGGTGCTGAGGACTTCAATACTGTCCTCACTGATGGTCCTGTGGCTGACTGCTTTGCTCCGAACCACCTGGGGGCTTAGTGACACTGTGAGGCTGGCCTGGCTGTCAGACTTAGACAGCACAGAGGTGGACTTCTCTGTGCCTAGAACCTCAATGCTTTCACCACTGCTGATACTCCCTTTCATATCCATATCCAGGTAGTCCAAGTTTTCCTGGGGGTCAAAACCACTCAATTCTGTCACCTCCACTTCCTTGTACTCCTCATCTCTAAGTTCCTGCTCCATCTTGATCAGCACAGACTCCACACTGGACTTGTAAGAGCCAACGCTAATTAACACTTGGGGAATTGGACATTCTCTTAGGGACCTGGAAGGCAGCCCGTCTTGACTGGGCTGAGGTGGTGTGCTTTCTTGTTTCTCCACCACCCTCTCATTGACCTCCACAAAATCTTCAAAAAGGAAATTGGTTATGTGCTGTTGCTTTAGTAGCGCTCTGTCAATCTGGCTGGTCAGGAGATAGCACAGGTCTCCTCTGAACATGTGCTCAATGTGGCTGAGCTGAGCCAGGGTCTGGGTGAAATACTCAGTGTCACAGAGCTCTTCCAAGGTCTTCAACTTCTTGTCAAAACACTTGGTGGACTTTGCTTTGATGAGTTTTGGGGTGTAGGCAGGTCTGCAGGTGTAAAGGTCTGTGTCAGCACACTCATCCGGATTAGAGGTAGTGGCTGCCTGGTCAGGCTGATCCTGGGTATGCTCCATCTTCCCAGAACACATATCGGTTCCCTTCGACTTCCGATGAGGGTATGAGCGGATCTGCCTCAGCAGGTCTTGATGTTCAATGATGGATTTCTCTACACTAGCCAGTTCATTGGCTTTCTCAATTGCCTGAGATGAGTAAAAACCTTTGTCGTTGGCTTTCTTCTGGATCTCTGTCTCAGTGTGCAGCACAGTCCTGGTGTAATCCAAGTCTTTCAGTTTTTTTTCAAGTTCCCCAGCAAAGGCCTTCCTGTTGCCTGTCTTTAAGCACTCAGAAGCTTTGGAAAATTCAGCTGAAAGCTCCTGGAACTGCTGCATGATTTTGTGCTGGTCTGCTGAGATATAAGCCATGCAAAAGGGCCTTACAAAGCCACGGGCCTCCAGGTCATACAGGGTAAGGTGGTGCACATATGCAAAGGCTCCCTCCTTGGAGTCTCCCAGAACCACCTTGGAGTCCTCCACGAAGTTCAGCTTGGGGTAGGCAGAACCAGGGGGATGGCCCACAAAGGAAGCCTGGTAATCCACAGACATGATCCGCAAGGAGAAGTAATTAAGATCAAAAGTACCGAAAACTTTGGTGTCATTGGGGATGGTCAGCAAGGGTTGGGGTCCCACCTGCTCTGAAAATTCGGAAATAAGGATGAAGTCCCGAGAGAACTTGGCTCCGGACAGTTTGGACCATGGGTTAGCTCCTTGGCTTGCGAAGGGGAAGAGCGGCACCGAGTACTCCTCGGGCAGGGCTGGTTCATTGTAAGGCTCCTCTTCGTATTCGTCCTCTTTGGTGAAGGCCACCACGTCAGGGGCGCTGATCATATTTCCAGATATACTGAGAGAACATTGAAAGGAAGTAGGAAAGAATGCTGGGGTAATAGACGCGGAGAACCCAGGCCCCTGGAAGAGGAAGCAAAGTCCTTGCGGTCTTTGGGTACTAGGCTGTCTCTCACACTTCCGAGAACTCTAAGTCCCGCAGCCCCTCACAGGTGTAGCTCCTCCAGGGCCCTCGGAGGCCTCACGAACTCCGCAGGTACAGAAAGCGGGGGAGGACGGTTGCCCTCCTCCTCTTCTAGCGAGCGCGGCCGACGCAGAACACTTGCAGCGAGATCACCGGGACTCCCCCGAACCCACTGTGACAGCAACAGCCCCGACCCTGGACAGACGCCTAACGCGGGGCTACCGGCCGCTGCAGGAACCAGCCAAGCGTTGCCGCCCCTACGACCCGAGGGCAGAAACCGTCGCGGATCCTTGGACGCCACAACCCAGTGCCAGCTACCGCGGCGCCGCCATCTTGGTATCACATGACTCGCGGTATCGGCGCCGCGTAACCCGGAAGGGTCTGCGTAGACTCCCCAGCAGGTAAGAGGTTTGGACCCGAGTAGAGTGGCCTATCCCAAGGGCGAAACGATTAAGGAAAGGAAGTGAGGCGGGGGAACGGAAAAGTGATGAGACGAGTGGTCCACGAGCGCGGGGCAGTGTGGGAGTTGTAGTTCGCGGTCCCGTGGACTCCCCCAGGCGGAAGTGGCGAGAGAAGGCGGGCGGAAGCGGGACGCCGAGGTGCGGGATTCAGTGCAGAGGCGGCTGTGGTGAGAAGGCCGCAGCTCTAAAGCGGGGTGAGCTGGTGGGAGGCGACCAGGTGAGAGGCGGCGCTGGCGGCTCCAGGAGGCTGTAGTTCCCTTAGGGTGGGCATCGGGTGACCCTCACCTCTGGCTTCCCTAGCATGTGCAGGCATCCGGGGAGCAGCTAGCGCTGGGCCTAGGGATGATCTTCACGGTCGCCCGCAACGCACTCCGGTGGCTGCATTGGTCCGGAGGCCGGACCTTGCCCTCTTCCGCCATGGAGGTGGTCCTCCGAGGCGTGCGGAAAGTGCTCTGTGTGGCGGAGAAAAACGACGCGGCCAAGGGGATCGCTGACCTGCTTTCCAACGGTCGCATGAGGCGGGTAAGGAGGCGCATTTTCGATCAGCTGTGCTTGGTTAGAGAGGTCCACAGAGCGGAACAGAGTGGGGGGCCCCGGGAATAGAGATGAAGGTGACTTCTCCCACTTCTAGGTCTTTAATGTCTCGCTCGGACAATTGCAGTAGTCTCCTGTCTTCTCTTCGGACTGACGGGCATTTTAAAATGTAGTTAAGACATTTCACTCATTTACTTGAAAACCTTGGATCTTTCTTGCTTACAACAGTTGATTAGCAAGCTTGTCTGATTTTCGGAACCACTTGGGGCACTGGCTATTCTGTGGTCCTGGGGTGAGACTGGGGAAATCTGTATTTTAACATTCTTCCCTCGTGATTATAAAAGTTAAGTTGGGAACTACTGACCAAACTCCTTAAACTTGGCCTTCAAGTCCTGCCAGATCATTCCCAGCTAACCTAGCTTTCCTGTCTTCTGCCACACCGCGTGTGTTCTTAGAGTCTGTAAGTGCAGTGACAGAGCAACACTGTGTAAGTGTTTGCGGATTAGAGGTGATGACAGCCTTATTCCTACTCATACAATCTAATTCTAAGAGATAGACAAGTAAGGGACAAGATGTATTCTATTGTAGACACACTGAGGGAACAAAGGAAGGGGAGGTAAGAAAGGGTTCCGTAAAGAAGATGACATGGAGGCCTTAAGAGCTGTTCAGGAAAATCTCAAACCACAAAATTGGATCCTGAAATGGTTTTCTGGAGAACACATCTAAGAGCATGGGGTGGAAGTTCCTTCTTTTTTTCTTTCAAATCCCAGGATCCTTAGACCTCTGTTTCCAGCGTGTGGCTAGTGGGAGCAGAAGCCAAGGTTGTGGGTGCTGCAGAGTCCTGGTTACCAGCCCCAAGCTTTGTGTACATCTACAGCTCTGGGCCTCTTGAGAATGGCCCATCTACACCTAACTAACTTCTGTATCATTCAGCGTTCTGTTTAAATATCTTCTTCAAGGAACCTTTTCCTCACATTCCTCTTCCCCCAAATGGGTCAGGTACACTTTATAATATGCTGTCATGGTATCCTGTTCTTTTTGGAAGGCACTTACTAACTACAATTAAATAATGCACTGTGCAATTATTTCATGTACTTCACCATCCCTCCTTGGACTCTAAGCTCCCCAAAAAAGGGGCTATATCTGTTTTGTTCATTGCTGTATTCCTAGTGCCTAATACAGTGCCTGGAATACAGGAGACTTTCAGTAAATATTTGTTGGATGAATGTTTGAGCTGAGTCTTAAAAGTTTTACAAGGAAGTGAAAACAGTATGCATAAATAACAATCCCTCATCCATAAAAAAGAATAAAACCTTGCCATCTGCAACAACATGAATAGACCTAGAGGGATTGTGCTGAGTAGAGTAAGTCAAACAGAAAGACAAATGTTATATGACTTCACTTTTATGTAGAATCTAGACGACACGATAAAAGAACAAACAGAACAGAAACAAGCTCATAGATACAGAGAGCGTTTTGATGGTTTCCAGATTAGGGGAGGGGATGGGTGAAAGGGGGAGGGGATTAAGAGGTACAAATTGGTAGCTACAAAGCAGTCACAGGAATGTACAATATAGCATTGGGAATATAGTCAGTAGTATTGTAATAACTCTGGTATCAGATGGGTACTGGGATTTACTGGGGATCACTTCATGTTGTGCACCTGAAACTAATATAATATTGTATGTCAACAGTAATTGACAAATAAAAATAAAAAACTAAACACAGGAAGGGAGGAAGGGCAAACAATACCTTTTCATAAAAAACAAAAAACACGTGGATCAGTTGGTTAAGAGCTCGCTCAAGAGTGCGAGCTCTGGGCCAGCCGGGTGGCGCGATGGTTAAGAACTGGCTTGGGATGCCAGAGGGCCCCGGTTCGGATCCCACATATGAGGGCCAGTGACACTGCCCTCCACAGCTAAGATGCTGGGCTGCCGTGAGTCGCCGGCGCAGCCCCTGTGGCAATGGGTTACCGTGGGCTACCGTATGTAGCCAGCAGCCAGCGTGAGCGGCCATCCAGAAGCCGGCGACTGATCTGCCTTGCCTGGGAAGAGCGCAATGATGGTGCCAACTTGGGCCAGTGAAGCAACGTCCTCCACAACTAGATTGAAGAACAAAACGACAGCAACTTGTCTGCTCCCCTTCCCCCAATTCCCCAGCACTGTTCCCATCCCCCCAATTCCCCAATAAAAATCTTAAAAAAAAAAAAAAAGAGTGCGAGCTCTGAGCAACAGTGGTTCGAGTCCAGCCCGAGCTGAGCTGCCGCTGAGCTGCCAACAGAGGGCAGGATAGCTCAGCTAAAAAAACAACAACAAAAAAAGCAAACAGAGCTTGGCATGTTGAAAAATTGAGAAGTTAGGAGTGTGAGGTGGAGGGACCAGTGAGTTAAGCAAGAGAGGCAGTTGAAGACGGATCATGAGGGTACTAGAGAGCCATGTATTTTATGCACAAATGTTAAAGTACACAGAATTTACCGCATAAACTATTTTGAAGTATACAATTCAGTAGCATTTAGTATACTCACAGTGTAGTGCTACCATCACCTCTCTCTAGTTCCAGATTTTTATCACACCAAAAGGAAACCCCATAAACATTAAGCAGTCTCTCCCCATCCTCCTTTTCTCCCAGCCCCTGGCAACCACTAATCTGTTTTCTGTCCCCCAAAGATTTGCTTCTTCTGGATATGTCATAAAAAAAGAATCATATATGTGGCCTTTTGTGTAAGACTTCTTTCACTTGGTATGATGTTTCTGAAATCCATCCATGTTGTACCATGTATTATATTAGTACCTTTTCCTTTTTAATGGATGAATAATATTCCATTGTGTAGATAGATCACGTTTTGTTTATTCATTTTTTAGTTGGTGGACATTTGAGTTTGTTCCACCTTTGGCTACTGTGAATAAAGTTGCTATAAACATTAACTTGCAAGCTTTTGTTTGAATATCTGTTTTCAGTTCTTTGGGGTAAATTTCTAGGAGTAGAATTGCTGGGTCATAAGTTAACTCTATGTTTAACTTTTTGAGGACCTTCCAAACTGTTTTCCACAATGGCTGAAACATTTTACATTTTCACCAGCCATGTTCCCAATTTCTCCACATCCTCACCAACACTTGTTATTTTTTCATTTTTTTGAGCGTCACCATCCTAGTGGGTGTGAAATACCTCGTGGTTTTGATTTGCATTTCCCAAATGACTAATGACACTGAGCACCTTTTCATGTGCTTATTGGCCAGTGTATATCTTTGGAGAAGTGTCTGTCCGTGTCTTTTGCCCATTTTTTAATTGAGTTGTTTATCTTTTTGTTATTGACTTGTAAGAGTTCTTTATATAGTCAGGATGCTAGATCCTTTTTAGATATATGATTTGCAAACATTTTATCCCATTCCATGGGTTGTATTTTCACTTTCTTGATAGTGTTCTTTGATGCACAAAAGGTTTTAATTTTGATGACGTCTGGTTTATCTATTATTTTTTTCTTTTGTGGATTATATATACTTTTAGTGTCATTTTCAAATCCAAGGTCATGAAAATTTGCTTCTATGTTTTCTTCTAAGAGTTTTTGCTCTTATATTTAGGTCATTGATCCATTTTGAGTTAATTTTTCTATATAGTGTAAAATATAAGAATCCAACTTCATTCTTTTACATGTGGATATCCAGTTTTCCCAGCACCATTTGTTGAAGACTATCCTTTTCCCCTTGGATGGTTTTGGCACCTTTGTCAAAAATCAGTTGACTGTAGATGTTTGGGTTTATTTCTAGAATCTCAATTCTATTCCATTGTTCTTTATATCTGTCCTTATGCTAGTACCACACTGTTTTGATTACTGTAGCTTGGTAGTAAGTTTTGAAATTGGGCAGCGTGAGTCCTCCAACTTTTTTCTTCTCTTTCAAGATTGTTTTGGCTGTTTAGAGCCCCTTGCAATTTTATTTGAAATTTAGGATCAGCTTTTCCATTTCTGCAAAAAAGACTTGGGATTTTTGTATCTGTAGATCACTTTGGGAAGTATTATCATCTTAATATTGTCTTCCAATCTATGAACTCAGGTCGTCTTTCTCTTTAAGTCTTCTTTAATTTCTTTCAGCATTGTGTTGTAGGATTTTTATTATTTATTTATTTTTTTAATTTATTTATTTTTAAAGATTTTATTGGGAAATTGGGGAAAGGAAACATTGTGTTTTTCCAGGACCCATCAGCTCCAAGTCAAGTTGTTGTCCTTCTATCTTAGTTTTGGAGGGTACAGCTCAACTCCAAGTCCAGCTGCCGTTTTCAATCTAGTTGTGGGTGGCGCAGCCCATCAGCCCATGCGGGAATCAAACTGGCAACCTTGTTGTTCAGAGCACCCGCTCTAACCAATTGAGCCTTCTGGCCCCCCGTTGGCAGCTCAGCAACTTCTCAGCTAAAGGTGCCGTGTTCAATCTTAGTTGCTGGGGGCGCAGCCCACCATCCCATGTGGGAGTCAAACCGGCAACCTTGTTGTTAAGAGCATGCTCTCTACCAGCTGAGCCATCCTGCCTGTTGGCAGCTCAGCAACAGCTCAGCTCGGGCGCAGCTCACTGGCCCATGTGGGAATCGAACTGGCAACCCTGTTGCTCAGAGTTCGCACTCTAACCAGCTGAGCCACCCAGCCACCCCTGTGTTGTAGTTTTCATTGTGCTTTTGGATGCTGTAACGAATGGAATTGTTTTCTTAATTTTCTTTTCAGATTGTTCACTGCTACTGGTTTTTGTGTGTTGATCTTATATTCTGCAACTTTGCTGAATTTGTTTATTAGTACTAATAGTTTATGGCTTCTTTAGAATTTCTATCTATAAGATCATGTTATCTGTGAATAGAGATAGTTCTACTTCTTCCTCTCTGATTTGGATGTTTTTATTTATTTTTCTTGCCTAATTGCTCTGGTTAGAATCTAGCAATAGTGAAAATGAACATCCTTGTCTTGTTCCTGATCTTCGAGGAAAAGCTTTCAGTGTTCTACCAATGAGTAAGATGTTAACCGGGGGGGGGGCAGGGTTGTAAATTTTGTAAATGCCTTTTATCATGAAGGGTGTTGAGTTTTTATTAAATGCTTTTTATGTTCCAATTGAGGTGAGCCATATAGGTTTTAAGTGGAGGAGTATCAAGGTCCTATTTGTATTTTATAAAATCACTCTGGCAGCAGGGGATTTGAAAAGTGGAAAGCTAGAGTCAAGGAGGTATCTGTTGGAGAGGTCAGAGGCCTGAACTCGAGACCCTTGGAACAGTTTGGGTAGGAGCAGAGGGAATGGAAAGGAGGGAATGATGAAACAGAATGTAAGAGGTAAAAGTTCACCATGCTTTTACAAATCTTGGCCCTTCTTCCTGGAATAATTTGCTTCTTTTCTCCTAATGAGCTCTTCATCTTCTAAAAGAAAAATAAAAGACAACCTAAATGTAACCTGTTAAGTATCCTTTCCATCCATTTCCTTCTCTGTTTCCAGATTCATTTTCATCTCTTTTGATAAAGCAGTCATCATGGGTCAAGTTATCTAGCTGTCTGTCCACCTTTCCCATGGTGTGTCACCTCCCTAAGAACAGTGATAGGTCCTATTCACTTATTTATTCCCCAAACAGAGCCTGTTACATGAAAATCAAATGGTAAATATGCATCAAATGTCATAATCCCTACCTTTAAGGGACTTAAATTCTGAGAGAGGTGCTAAGACATATAGACACACACAACTCAGAATCAGGTGATGATTGTTGCACCTTTATAATAGCAAGGAATTGAAATAACAAGGACTAGTCATGGAAATAGAGTGGTTAAATAAATTGTATGTCCTTGTGACAGATTATTAGACACCTATTATGGAAAAGACTTTTAAACACATTTTAAACAAATAACATGCATATGTATTTGGAAGAAATTCAAAACCTTAGTAAGTGATAGAATCTTTCTTTTTTTTAACAGTAGTACTTAGACAGTTCAGAGAATACATATGTATATCAAGTAAACCACCCCATCACCCACAGTAACCACCGCTGATAACTTATAGATTCTTGAGGACGTTTCTATGTATGCACAATTTTTTCATGGTTTTATTTTTATATTCAGAAGGAGAAATCTTAAAAAAAACAAAACACCTGCTATAGATTCAGTGGCAGCAATATGATCAATTTTTCCAGAGTGCTTAAAAAAGATGGGACTTAAGCTCTTTTTTTTTATTTGTTAATAGAGTGGCTAGCACTGACACAGAGATCACAGAAGCTTCATTCTTGGTCTGTCTACTAGGTTTTTCTCTTTCTCTAGGCTCCAAACGCCATTGTAATTTGGAAACAGCCCAAAGCACCTGAGCACCACACCAAAGAGGTGGAACCACACATAATTGCATACTGCCCTCAGATAGGGATTACAGGGAAGAAAGTTTGAAATACCAGGAAAATCCTTTTACATCCTCAGGACTATCCATTGGTAGAGAAGGCTGCTTTGGAGGGCCTGGACCTGAGGTTGCACATATCATTAGATAAATCATTTACTTGGAGAGGATTAGAACAGTGTTTTTCAGACTGTGTTCCCAAGAGACCCAAGGGACCATGGATGGGCACTTTGGGAGCCACTTGGCTGGACTGGGGCAAGGCTGAGTTAGCAGGACTCGGCCTTCTGCAGACAGGGTACCTCAACCTTGTTATTTGTCAGGCTCCATGTAAGATTTTGTTTGGGAAGGCCTCAATGCTTTCTTTAAAAGAAGTAGGAAAGGGCCAGCCGATTGGCTCAGTTGGTTAAGAGCCTGCTTAAGAGTGTGGGCTCTGAGCAACAGGGTCGCCGGTTCGATTCCCACATGAGCCAGTGAGCTGCACCTGAGCTGAGCTGCTGCTGAGCTGCCAATAGGTGACAGGATGGCTCAGCTGGTGAGAGCATGTGCACCTAACAACAAGACTGCCTTTTCAACTGGTGGGCTACACCCGCCCGCAACTAAAGACTGAACTTGGCACCTTGAGCTGAGCTTCCACCCGGGTGGCTCGGGATAGAGCGTGTGCTCTTGACAACAAGGCTGCCAGTTCGACTCCCGCATGGAATGGTGGCTACGCCCACCTGCAACTGGGATTGAGCACAGCACCTAGAGCTGAGTGGCTGTGAGCTGCCGCCGGCTGGCCGTATGGCAACTGGACTTGGAGCTGAGCTAGCTGCACCTTCCACAACTAAGATTGAAGGACAACAATTTGGCTGTTCCCTTCCCCAATTCTCCAATAAAATCTAAAAAAAAAAAGTAGGAAAAAAAGTAGAAACCATTGCTAAAACAATTTCTAGGGCCAACCGAGTGGCGCGATGGTTAAGGGACGCCAGAGGGCCCCGGTTCGGATCCCACATGAGGGCCAGTGACACTGCCCTCCACAGCTAAGATGCTGAACAACAGCTCAACCTGGAGCTGGGCTGCCGTGAGTCGCCGGCGACGGCGTGGGCTGCAGTCCCTGTGGCAGTGGATTGCCATGGGCTACCATGTGTGGCCAGCAGCCAGCGTGAGCGGCCAGCAGCCGCAGTGAGCGGCCGTCCAGAAGCCGGCGACTGATCTGCCTCGCCAGAGAAGAGCGCAATGATGGTGCCAACTTGGGCCAGTGAAGCAACATCCTCCACAACTAGATTGAAGAACAAAACGACAGCAACTTGTCTGTTCCCCTTCCCCCAATTCCCCAGCACTATTCCCATCCCCCCAATTCCCCAATAAAAATCTTTAAAAAAAAAAAAACACAATTTCTAGTCTCTATTATAGTAGTCTCTGCTTATCCAAGGTTTCGCTTTCAGTGGTTTCAGTTACCTGTGGTCAGCCACGGACTGAAAATATTAAATGGAAAATTCCAGAAATAATTTGTGAGTTTTAAATTGTGTGCTGTTCTGAGTATTATGGTGAAGTCTTACACGGTCCCTCTGTGTTCCCCCTGGGACGTGACTCATCCCTTTGTCCAGCATATCACGCTGTATGGACCACCCACTCTTAGTAGCCATCTCAGTAATCAGTTGGGCTGTCACAGTGTCTCAGTGCTTGTGTTCAAGTAACTCTTATTTTGCTTAATAATGGCCCCAAGGTGCAAGAGTAGTGATCTGGAAATTTGGATATGCCAAAGAGGAGCTGTAAAGTGCTTCCTTTAAGTGAAAAGTTATGTATGTATAGAAAAAAACATAGTATGTGTAGGGTTCGGTATTATCCGAGGTGTCAGGAATCCACTGGGAGTCTTAGAATGTATTCCCCAAAGATAAGGGGCAACTACTATACTAACAGGGCTTAACTAATAATTGGAGTTTATAGAGGGGGTTTCTTTTCTTGGCATCATTAGAACAGTAAACTCTTAAGTATCAGATACTAAATAAAATAAATTCCCTTTTTAAATGTGCCTTTATGCCTCAAAGAACCTCATTCAATGTTCCACACAGAAAAATTGTATTTGTGAGGCTGAGGGAGAATCTTGTCGACACCCATCTTTCTTGGCCCCCCAGTTTGCCTTTCTCTTCAGCGCATCGTTAGTGGGAAACAAACATGCATAATTACAGTTAAACCCTTGAGCAACATGGGTTTGAACTGCATGGGTCCACACATGCACATGGATTTTTTTCAACAAATACAGCACTGTAAATGTATTGTCTATATGGTTTTCTTAATAACATTTTCTTCTCTCTAGCTTACGGTACTGTCAGAATACAGTATATTTATTTATTTATTTATTTATTTATATGTATGTATACATATATATTACATACAAAATATGTTAGTTGACTGTTTATGTTATCAGTAAGCTTACTGGTCAACAGTAGGCTACTGGAGTTAAGTTTGGGGGAGTCAAAATTTATATGCAGAATTTTGACTGTGTAGGGGGTCGGCGCCCCAACCCTTGCATTGTCCAGGGGTCAACTATACTTTTAACTCCTTTGTAGAAGAAAGTGGGATCTACTTAGAGAGGATCTTATTCATATGTAAGTGTAGCTGTGTGGACTAGACTCCAGCCCTGACTAGGTTTCATGTATTTCAGAGCCAGAGGGACCTTAGAGATAACTTTATTCAAGAATAAACTAAGGTTCAAAAAGTTGAATGATTTGCCCATGGTTGTCAGTTTATTGATGCAGTTGTATAGCCAGGAAGTGGTAGAAATGTGTGAGAGGGAGGAGGAGAAAAATCAAGAGAGTTATGCCCTAATCTTTGCTCTGCCATTAATGTATCGTGTGACCTTAGAAAAGGCCATTCTCATCTATAAAAAGGTGTTGTATTAGCTGATCTCAAGGTTACCTTCCAGCGTAAAAACTCCGTGGACTCTCTTAAGTCCGTGCTTGTAACTGTGTTTTGAGAGACCACTTAATAAATGGTTAGTAATTTAGCCTAGTTTTTATCTATAGGAAATACTGTTGCGTTTTTAATATTCCCACTTAACAGGGTTGTGTTTGATCTTTATGCTGAATCTTTTTTAATGAAATTTATATATTCATTTTTGTTTTATAGAGGGAAGGACTTTCTAAATTCAATAAGATCTATGAATTTGATTATCATCTGTATGGCCAGGTAGGTACTACAGTATTTCCATCATGTAACTGAAGTGTACTTTCAGACCCATGTGCCACTTTGGTGTATATTCTCTGAGTTTTTAGTTATGGCTAAAAAAAACCATCTGTTTACTACAAATTCTCCCTAAATTGCTTGTATTTTAGAATTATTTAATCAAGAAGAATTACCTGGGCCGGCCAAGTGGCACGTTGGTTAAGAACTGGCTTGGGACGCCAGAGGGCCCCGGTTGATCCCACATATGAGGGCCAGTGACACTGCCCTCTACAGCTAAGTTGCTGAACAACAACTCAACCTGGAGCTGGGCTGCCGTGAGTCGCCCACGACGGCATAAGCTGCAGCCCCTGCTGCAGTGGGTTGCCATGGGCTACTGTGTGTAGCCAGCAGCCAGCGTGAGCGGCCATCCAGAAGCCGGCGACTGATCTGCCTCACCTGGGAAGAACGCAGTGATGGTGCCAACTTGGTCCAGTGAAGCAACGTCCTCCACAACTAGACTGAAGAACAAAACGACAGCAACTTGTCTGTACCCCTTCCCCCAATTCCCCCAGCGCTGTTCCCATCCCCCAATTTCCCAATAAAAATCTTACAAAAAAAAAAAAGAATTAGCTGTCCATTGTAGAATATGTTGCTGTCTTTTAAGAATAACTGTTGTGACCAAAAGATCCCTGGTCACAGGCAGTCAATCATTTTATAATTCATATGGAAGTCTCTTTTTAATAAAATGTGGTCCCATCTCAGCTCTTTATAACAAGGAAGAAGCTAATGTACAATAGTTTGAGGAAATTTTTTTTTTTTAAGATTTTATTGGGGAATTGGGGGAGGGGAACAGACAAATTGCTGTTCTTTTGTTCTTCAGTCTAGTTGTGGAGGATGTTGCTTCACTGGCCCACGTTGGTATTATCATTACGCTCTTCCCAGGTGAGGCAGATCGGTCGCTGGCCTCTGGACGGCCGCTTATGGCAGCGCACTGCAGCAGGGGCTGCATCCTACGCTGTCGCGGCAACTCTCGGCAGCCCAGCTCCAGGTTGAGCTGTTGTTCACCATCTTAGCTGTAGAGGGCAGTGTCACTGGCCCTCATGTGGGATCCAAACCAGGGTCCTGCTGCTCAGAGCTGGCGTCCCAAGCCAGCTCTTAACCAACGCGCCACTCAGCCGGCCCGAGGAAATTTTAAATGCTACAAAAAGCATCATGGTACTAGACTTAGAATGGTGATTGTATTACTATGGCTTTTGGCTTGAAAGAGTTTTATAATATTTATGTTTGTTTCTTCATAGTCAATTGGTTTTTGTTTTGTTTTATTTTTTATAAACTTTATTTTTTTAGAGCAATTTTAGGTTCACAGCAAAATTGAGGGACGGTACACAGTGTTTCCACATACGCTAGGCCTCTCCCATTATCAACATCCCTCACCACTGGTACATTTGTTATAATTGATGAACCTACCTTGACACATAATCACCCAGAGTCCTTAGTTTTATTAGGATTCACTCCATGTTGTACTTCATGTGGGTTTGGACAGATGCCTATATAAACATATATCCATCATGATAATATCATACAGAGTGTTTTCACTGCCCTTAAAAACCCTCTGTGCTCCACCTGTTCATCTCTGCCCCTTCCCCTGCAACCACTTTTTTTCTTTAATAGAAGTTTCTCCCTTTTATTTGAATGATTTGGCAAAAGTTAATTGCTAAAAGACTAACTCGAATTTTGTTATTCAGAATGTTACCATGATAATGACTTCAGTTTCTGGACATTTGCTGGCTCATGATTTCCAGATGCAGTTTCGCAAATGGTCAGTACAATTCCTGGGGGAGGGACTTTCAGATTTTTATAGCAAGTTGTAAAAAATTTGCAGGAATGTTGAGGCATGGTGGCCTTAGTGTGTAACTTACAATACTGAGATGACTGAGTTAGTTCAGGCTGCTATAACAAAATACCATAGACTGGTTGGTTTATAAACAAGTTTACTTCTCCCAGTTCTGGAGGCTGGAAGTAGGAGATCAGAGTGCCAGCATGGTTGGGTGACGGCCTTCTTCCAGTTGCAGACTGCTGACTTCTCACTGTGTCCTCACCTGTTGGAGGGTCTAGAGAGCTTTGTGGGGGTCTCTTCTGATCTCACTAATCCCATTCATGAGGCTCTACCCCCATGACCTAATCACCTCCCAAAGGCCCCACCTTTTAACACCATCACTTTGGCGTTAGGATTCCAACATGTGAATTCTGGGAGGATGCCAACCAGAGAGACCATAGCAATGGCCTAGGATTAAACAATACATCATGAATTTTTACCATATGTTTAGAATAAACAGCTACTTTTGGTTGTTTTCTCCAAAATAGCCAGAACTTTTTAATGCAGTCATTGGATTGCACTTATCCTATTGCAGATATGCATGAAAGGATTCTAGAATTTCTTCTTAGCAGCTTCTGTTAATTGTCATGGGAAGTGAAAATACATTGTGCAGAGGGCCAGAGCCTTGCTTTTAATCTGCCATTTTCATGTGGGACTCTTTCTGTTGGGTATCCATGCATGAGTGTCCTGAAGTGAATTTTTCTCATTAATAATGGAGGACTTTGCATCATGTGCTGAGGGGGGATTTGTTTTGTGTTTTCATTCCTTTTTTTAGGCAGAGCTGCAATCCCCTTGTTCTCTTTGAAGCAGAAATTGAAAAGTACTGCCCAGAGAACTTTGTAGACATCAAGGTAGGCTCTTTTGGAAGACATATGGCACTGGAGTTGAACAACCACAAAATAATTGAACTGGGTGCATTCTATAATGCATTGGAATTTAGAGAGAAGGTTTTCCACCAAACTAAGTACCGCGATTTTAAAAATTATTCCCACCCATTGTATAAATGAGGCCATTTAAACTAAGTGGCTAAGAGGCTGAAGTAAGCCTTTTTATGAATAGTAGTTGTTTAAATAAACTCTGAGAATAAATATTGTTAAATTATTTATTCTAGCTCCGACCCCACCGCTAGTTAGGATGAAGAGACTACAAAGTACACATGATCGTTTGATAGTAAATTCTGAGGTCATTTGATAGTAAATTGTGAGTTCTCAAGTAGTCAGGGCACCTATGTTAGTTCACTGCTAACTGGAAAGCTTGGGATGAAACTCAATTAGGGGTTCATTATGTAAAAACCAGAACCACTAGAGTTATGCGTGCAGGTTAGAGCTGAGTTTTAGGTTTCTTCATGCCAGTGTAGTTTTATTAAATCCTCAGTCTTCTAGAAGCTCATTAATGGGTCTGTCATTCTAAGCTGGAGGATTGTACTCATTTCTTCACCATCCTTAGAACGGTAAGAATAGCTTTCTCTGGCCTCTTTCTCACCAAGTTTGGCATAATTCAAGAATATGATTAATGTTCAGTCAGGTCTGTTTAATGTAGAGGTGTGAAGTAATTGCTCTGCAGCTTGTATTCTCACTGCTCTTTCCCCACTGGGGAACTTCAGAAAACTCTGGAACGAGAGACTCAGCAGTGCCAGGTCCTGGTGATCTGGACCGACTGTGATAGAGAAGGTGAAAATATCGGCTTTGAGGTTATCCACGTATGCAAGGCTGGTGAGTAATGCCGCTTCTGCATGTCTGTACTTTGGGACCGCATAGATCAGGGTCGGCAAACTTTTGAGACGGAAAAGCTGCCAGGAGTCAGCAAACTGTGGCTCATGAGCCACATGCAGCTCTTTGGGTATGTACATGTGGCTCTGAAGTAAAATTGAAAATGAAAATAAAACTATCATAGTTTCATTTATAATATTACTTTAAATTTTCCTTATTTGTAAAAATGGGTTGTCGGAAAAGTCATGATGCATTTTGCAATGAAAAACATAGAAAAAAATACATCACGACTTTTCCAACAACCCAATATTTATGGCTCTCGAATAATTTTTAAATTGTTGTGAGGGACAGGATTGGCTCAGCAAACTTTTGAGACGGAATGTACCCAAAGAGCCACATGTGGCTTGCAAGCCGCAGTTTGCCGACCCCTGACATGTTGGGTTGTCGGAAAAGTCATGACATATTTTTTCTATGTTTATCGTTGCAAAAATGCATCATGACTTTTCTGACAACACTATAGATAGATAGATGTTTCTCCTGCATATGCGCGAGTGGCTGTGCCTTAGTTCCTCTGCATATACTCTTCCTCCTGAATCCACCTCCAGTCTCACTGGCTGTGTGTCCTGGAGTCCGTCACTGAACCCGGGGGAGTCTTGGCTTCCTCATCTGGAAAGTCAGCCCAGCCTGGCACAGTTCCGAGGCTGTGTGAGGGCTGCGTGAGCTGACCGGTGGCACAGATCCTGTAGCCCAGGGCTCGCTATGTGTTAGGTCAGAGTAGACTGCCAGCTTCTTTAGAGCAAGGACTATATGGTTTTTAAAATGATACGTTGAATGTTTACAACAGAATGTATACACCATATGTAAAGTATGAAGAATAATCCTAGAATGTTTCATGTGTTTTGTAGTTTTGTTTGTTTTTACTTTCTTTTTATAAATTAAATGTATTGGAGTAACATTGGTTAATAGTATGTAATTTTCAGGTGTGCAAGATTCCATTTGTTTTTTTATATTTTTCATATATTCTTTGTACAATGCCTCAACATTAATAAATAATTGTTTATTAAGTTTGTGAAGTGAACTTAAATGATTCTTAACAGGGTTAATGATTTCAGGTAACTTAGAGGAAGTGAGTGCAGGCCATTCTCGGGCTTCACAGTGTGGGGTTGCTATTTTCCCTAAGTGTTTTTGTGTTGGAAGCTATAATAACTCCCAGGATTTAAATACATTAACTTTCAGGGACAGCATATGACAGGACATGAAATTCCCCCAGGGGACCTTTTAATTGACACTTTTCTTTTCCCAAAAGGTCTAAGAGAGCAAGTGAGATTCAAGTCTGGACAGGTGCACCAAGAGCATTTTAGTTAATAGCTAAATTTTCTCTGCCGTTATTTCTGACGACACTGAGTTTGGTGGTTATAGTGAAGTTTCCTGTTTAGACAGCATACTGTTAATTTAACCAAATCAGTAAAATTGGACACCTCAGAGCTTCTTGAACTGGTTTACCTTTCGTTCAAGGTTTAAGAAAAGTGAGCCCTTGGTGAGAGGGCAATGGAACTTGCCTTTGATCTCAGTGACTCTTTCTGGTCCACAGTAAAGCCCACCCTGCAGGTGTTGCGAGCCCGATTTTCTGAGATCACCCCCCGAGCCGTTAAGACAGCCTGTGAAAACTTGACCAAGCCTGACCAGAGAGTGAGCGATGCTGTGGACGTGAGGCGGGAGCTGGACTTGAGGATCGGTGAGGAGCCCCATGGACCCCTTTAATGGCCTGCATGGCCATTGGGTGTTGGCATATGGAGCCAAAACTGAGGTTTGTGTGTGAATATGTGTAACTAGCTTTGACCGTGCTGTCCATCATTTTCTTCTTCCTTCTTTCCTTCCATTCTCACTTAACAGGAGCTGCCTTCACTAGGTTCCAGACCCTGAGGCTTCAGAAGATTTTTCCCGAGGTGTTGGCAGAGCAGCTGATCAGTTACGGCAGCTGCCAGTTCCCAACACTGGGGTTTGTGGTGGAGAGGTTTAAAGCCATTCAGGCTTTTGTACCAGAAATCTTCCACAAAATTAAAGGTAGGGCTGGGGGAATTGTCCATAATATGGAACCTAATGGCCCAGGAATACCCGAGGGTACCATGGAACATCAGTGGCTCTAATTAAATGTGTGGGACTTTTCTGGTCTTGCTGCCTTTCACCCTACTCCATTATAATACTCAGAATCCACTTAAAGTTTCCTCAGTGATCTTCTCTATCTCATATTGCTTTGATTTGCACTGTAATATTCCTATTGACTGTCATACCTTGTGGTCCCCTGAGTCGTGTCCTTCCTGTTTGGGTTTCCCCAATAGTAACTCATGACCACCGAGATGGCATCGTAGAATTTAACTGGAAAAGGCATCGTCTCTTCAACCACACAGCTTGTCTTGTCCTCTATCAGCTATGCATGGAGGTAAGAAATATTTTTCAATCTTAATGATCTGGGAAAATCGTTTTGCGGTTTCCCAAGTCATTCCCTCTGTTTTGGCAGAGGTGTTCCTGACTGTCCCATTTTCCCACTGAGCTGTAGCTTTCAGTTTGCATCTCAAGACATCACTTTTTGGGGACCAGTAAGACAAGAACCCCATGAAAACAGCACTAAAGGAAAGGATCTGTGGAAGTTTTAGGGAAAATCAGAAATGTGAAGAAATATTGGGTTGTCGGGAAAGTCATGACGTATTTTTCTGTTTTTCAATGCAAAAATGCATCATGACTTTCCCGACGACCCAATGTGTAGCTGAAACGCCCTCCCTAAAGCAGTGTGCTAGCATCAGTGATTAATGAGGATTAGCTGGACCAGTCTAGCTTATAAACTCCTAGAGCTGGAATGAGTTCGGACAGCATCTAGTCCAGCTCCCGCTGAAATTGGTCAATGAAATCTAGAGAGATGAAAGTCACAAACAAGTGAACAAGTTAATTTTATACAACAGTGAATGACTGGAAGTAAAGCTATGGTAAAGGAATAGAAAATGGCCTGTGGGGGTCGGAAGGGGACTATTCTGGGTATGGTGGCCATGAAAGGCATCTCTGGTAACATCTGAGTGAAAGCCGGACTGATCAGTAGGCGGCAACCACGGGAGGATTTGGGGAGAGCATGTGTCAGCGGAGAGAATAGCACATGCAAAGGACCGCGTCCAACTCAGGCCACAGAGCCAGTTCGTGGCCGAGGTGCTTCCCTCAGACTGTCCACTTTGTGATGCTGCTTCCTGTCAGTAAGCACATAATGGCCTGTTTTAACCCAGGGGCTGCACACAGTGGAACCTAAGTAAAAGTCAGAGCTCTCTAGGTTAGAGTCAGCTGTGCTTCCTGGCAGGTTTAGTATCCATTTGCTAAGGGAGAGTAATGCCTATTGAGCATCTGCTACATGCCAGACGTGGTATGTGTACATGTGATTTTCCCTAGTCCTAATAGTACCTGTGTGGGTGGTGATGCTCTCCCCATTTCACAGGTGAGGAAGCTAGAGAGCATGAGGGAACTGAGCAGAGACGCAGTGGAGCTAGGAAGGGACAGATCATAGACTCGTCCCAGTGTGTTCAACTTCAGCTCTGCAGATCACTCCCCCCCGCCAGGAGTTACCCTGTTCTATCCACTGCTCTACCCTTTGACCCTGAAGGTCACAGAACCAGCGTGTCTGTGACACTGCACGTTTATTTGTTCAGTCAGAAAGACCTGCCCCCTTTGTTGCTTTACTGGGATGTGGTGCAGAAATACATGGCAGGTGGGATACTTTGAGGGCCTTGTCAAGAGCACCTGGTCCCCATCTATTTGGAGAAAGAAATTTGGATTTTGATACACAAATATTCTCATTAACAAATCACTTGAGCTGAATTCTTTGTCCATCTGAAGTCTCTTAAAAGTATGAAGTTTGTCTTAAGATTAGAGTTCTCCAGCTTGTATTCTATAATTTCTCTTGTTTCTAACTCTGTATTATCAAGAATTAAAAAAAAACAAACCCCGCCCGAACTGAGCTGCCGCTGAGCTACCAGCAGGTGGCAGGATGGCTCAGCTACCAAAAAAAAAAAAAAAATTAGTAGCACTGTGCGTGCGAGATGGGACACTATACTTAGGAGATGCATAGGCTGTGGCATTTTGTAGGTTCCAGAGGAGGCACCATAGGGCTCATAAAATTGCTCCTCAAGGTCATGGTTTGAGTGGGAAGGTGATGATGTTGTCTGCCCCACTATGGGCTATGGGCCAACATTACGTGGGGGCACTCACGGCTGGAACAGGGCCTGAGCTGACGGTAAGTGTGATCGGGAATGGTGAGGAGGGGCAGTTGCAAGAAAGCAGGGAAGATGCAAGAGTGGGTTAAAAGTAGCCTCTGTTTTCTTGGCTTTCTAGGATCCCAGGGCAACTGTGGTGGAGGTCAGTTCCAAGGCAAAGAGCAAGTGGAGGCCTCAAGCTTTGGACACTGTGGTATGTTGCGGAGGGATTGTGCCAGCCCCTGACTTCCTGTTTTAGGCACCAGGGTCCTGCTGCAGACGTTGGTCCAGCGACAGAAAGTATAACCCTTCACAGGGCCACACAGGAATGTGTTTAGGAAAAACAGAAACCCCAGAACATGGGCCTGCTAGGCCTCAGGATTTTTTTTTTTTTTTTTAGTTAATAATTGCACTATAGCTGCTTTATGTGGTATTTCAAAGCAAAAAGAGGCTTTTTTTTTT